AGAGAGAGAGAGAGAGAGAGAGAGAGAGAGAGAGAGAGAGAGAGAGATTACCTGTCCATCAATCTATTGTATGACATACTAGACTAATGTTCAGAACTGTTTTCCTTACCACAGAAGGAATCGAGCTGGTAAGAGAAGGAAGGGAACTTTTTTTTTCCTGAGGAGATGCAGAGCTCTGCAACAGCCTGATCTCTGCTTCCTGACAGAGGAAATTGCTGGCCCTGCCTGGTGGGAATTTGAAGTGCAAAGCAGATGAAAATATGGGGCTGCCAGCTACCGGCAGTTCCCTGTGATGTGAAGCATTTGGCTCCTATAACAGATCGGCATCAACTTGGTTCTGTGCTTCCCTATTCCTTGAAGACATGTTTCCCAAACCTTTCAAGGCAGATTCTCATCCCTGCCTTTTATCTCCTTTCTAGATACTTTACCCCTTATCAAATCCACTACTATTTATGGCTACATATCAATAGAAGAATTTACTGCTCAACAAAACACCTCAATGATGGTGCTAGTGGTGACAAAGATGATAGCCTCACTCCTCTGGTGGCTGTAATACCATTTATATTCTTGAATATATATATATGTATATGTATATGTATATGTATATGTATATGTATATGTATATATTCAGCTTAGTACCAGAATATTTTCCACTGCTTCTTGATTGTAACAATTGTCTTGTTCTTTAGCTTTTAGCAATATCAGACACCCAACACAAAACAAGTTCTATCTGCTTTGTGCTTTCTAGTAATATTAGTTAGCAAGGGTTTCCGTAACAAGTACCAAATTTAAAAAAGAAAAAAAAATGGGTGTCCTACGACATAGAAATGTATTATCTCATGGTCCTAGAGGCTAGAAATGTGAGATCAAGGAACATGTAGGCTTATATCTAGGATGTTTTCCTTGACTTGTAAAGGGCTGTCTTCTCCTCAGGTATTTATGTTCTTTTTTTTCTTTTTCTTTTTTCTTGATGGTGGTGATTGTTGCTGTGGGAACTGAATCAGTAACCTTCCACATGATAAACAAACACTCTAAGCTAAATCTCCCAACCCTAAATTTCTTTCCAAGATACCATACCAGTACTGTTGGGTACTGTTATTACTTCAAAGACCTTATTTTAACTCAGTTTCCCCTCTCAAAGGCCAGGTCTTCCAATGCAGTCGAATTATTAGATATTGGGGTTGTGACTTGACCATGTAAGTCAGAGTATAGTTCATTCTGTAGGACAGAGTGTCAATGACCACAGTTCACCTTGTGGCAATAAGACCAAGGGACAAACAAGACATGTGGAGTAGAGATAGCCAAAGGAAGAAATTATTTATAAAGAAGGCACAGGGAAAGATGATAATTCCAGGCCCACACTGAACATCAGCTTGGTCCATATAATTGTGTCAGTTCCGTTCTCAGTGCCACTTTTGGAGTTTTTATGTTGCTTCTGTGGCTGGATCCTCAGGTCATAGCAGCTAGAAGGTGACGATGCTATTCTGTTGAGTTTTAAACCTGTCCTTCATGACAGTTACCATTTGGTGAAGAAACAGATCACCTTTGAAATTCATTAACATGACATAAGTTTATTTTGATCTATCTAACAAGTTATTCCCACTGTGGGAATTCTTGTTCTGAAGGATTCATGAAGATATAACTGGAAGTCTGTAACCATGTTCAGTATTTCATTCAAGCCAGTGGAACTCATGGGGCTCATTGAAGTAAGGCTCTATTAGATAGCTAACACTTCACGAATCCTTGCTTCTCGTTAGAGAGTATCAGCTCAAGGTATTCAGCACTGTTAGCAGAGCAAGGAGAAGCTCAACTGGCAATCAGTATGTCTTTGAAGAAGAAAATATGATTTATTAGTAGGCATTGCTTGATGAATTGTATGTTGGAGCTCAGAACTATTGAGAAGCAAAGAACTGTGAGATTCCTGCAGGAAAACTGGATGAGGGCTACTGAGTTTAAAGCAAGTGTGCTCTCTCGCTCTCTCTCTCTCTCTCTCTCTCTCTCTCTCTCTCTCAAAGACTCAATGTCTGGCTTGACATTAACTGTATCATCAAAATTTCTAGACTTTCATCAACTAGAAGAGTATTTTCACATGAAAAGTAGAACCAAACCTTCTGTCTAAATAGATGTCTGTTGCAATTTTGGATAAATTCCAGTAAAACAGACTCACTCGCATTTTTAGTCTAATGCTGTCTATATTCTTTTGACTGATATTGCTTAGCCAAAAACAATGCTACTACTATCTACCCTCACTGAGCAAG